GAACACTTGAGTGAACTACAAGTTCTCAGACTAACAGAGTACATAACAGCTGGATTCAACGACAACCAGTATACAGGAGCAGCCTTCTTGGACGAAAACAAAGCCTTCGATAGAGTCTGACATAAATGACTGACTTAAGAAAATAGGAAGCTGTGGATACAGGGGAGTGCCACAGGAAGTGGTTCTGTCATCTCTACTGTATACAATATACACCGCCAAAGTTCCAAGAACACAGGAACACTATTCAGTTTTTATGCAGATGACAGCAATTTCGGATTGAAACAGAAACATTGATGAACCTGTAAACAACTTACAGACAGCATTGGATAACATAGAAAAATGTTGTCAATGAGTATCCAATAGAAAATAGCCATAAACTCAGAAAAAACTCAAGCAGCAGTCATGTTTAAAAAGAGAAGAGAAACCCCAGACGAATAGCTTACAGTACAAAATAATCGCGTCGAATATAAAAGAGAAGCAAAATACGTAGGAGTCATAATAAATGCAACATGTGGACCAAACTATTATAAAACAACCACAGCCAGAGCAGTAATAAGAGGACGTATAGGTCGAGAAGGCAAATTAAGACAAAAATGCAAATAAAACTGATTAACAGCATTATGATTCCAATAATAACATATGCATCTCTCGCATGGTGACACACAAGTAAATCTAACAGAAACAGGATACAAGCAGCACATAATAATAGCCTTAGAGAAGCGGATAATATATCCTGATACGTTTCCGAATGTTTTCTGCTCCAAGAACTAAAACAAGTGAGGGCGACAGACATGTCGCCGTAAGATGGTAGAAAAAGCCAGAACAAATTTTTTTGAGCTAAAGAATCAAGCCCAAAACAGTGAGAAATAATAAGATATGATGCATTCCATCGATGGAAGCACAAAATGCGTTCCATTGATGGAAGCACAAAAGACCAAAACAGCAAATCCTGGCCAACATACAAAGTCTAAAAAATTGTAGCTCTATCAACAGAAGACAACTCAGCGCATAGTACTGGCAATTTTTATAATGTTTAATGATACTACTTTTCAAAAATCTCTCAAAAAAAAAATTATAAAATACTAGAAAAACCAAAAAAATTACAAAATTACTAGTAAAAAAGCAAAAGCAACAAAAACAAAATTAACTAAACACCCTAAACCTAGGCACGAGAGGCCCACATCCTCGAACGCCAAGTCGCCGAACTGGGTGGACCGGAGCGGAGACTTGGGATCCGAGCAAGCAATTTCAGATTCGATGAAGTCACCAAGGATAGCACAGGACTACCCACACGATAAGCACTTTGTTGGTAGTTCCTATCGCGCATTAGAGTGCTATAGGGGGGAAAGGGATGGTCTGGAGTATTGGGGCTCGGTGGAATGATTCCTGAGTACAAGAGTTAATCCTTCTTGCCCCAATGAATTGTAATACCCCAATGTCATTTTTAAGGGGTGTACACACAGGCTAGGGTAAATTAAATTGCTTGTTTGCTTCTCGCAAGCGGTTCGTCCCGCCATACAAATTATATGAATATAGCGTTCGGAAAAAGTTCGCGAACAGTTCGAATCGCATATGTGTACCCACCTTTAAATTTACAAGATCTTGCCAGTTAAGAATTCTGTGCCACTTTATATAATATGAATTTTATCAATTTGAATGTTCTACTTTACATCTAAAATATTTGAGTTAATTTGCAGTTGGTCCTATTTCTTTATCTATTTCTCTCCCAACTTAGAGTTTAAAACTCGTGCTTCGCTTTACGATCCTAGTCTTCGTATGTATACTGAAAACTCACATATGTGCCGTATGCAAATTTCAAGGTAGGTAAATATCATTTGCAACATGTCGGCATTTCTACATAACATTCTGCAGCCAAGCGACAATATCGCTAAAAGTTATTTGAATTAAGTTAACCAAAATTTTAGAAGTTTAATACACGCATTAGAAATACAAAAATAAATTAATAAATATAAAGAATTAAATTAAATTAAAAACGTATACTCAAGAATTGGTAGAGAGCTATCTCGGACAAGTATCCTGACATTTTAAAACATTCGGAGTAGTACAGGGTTACGCAATTGAACTGTTACCTATTCAAACGACCATAACTTTTTTGTGTGAATTTATTTTCTATTATTTCAGATAACAATATTGTGTGAAAATAATCAAAATTTCAAAATCCAGTCACTTTAGCTCGATGTGGCCACCTTTTGCCTTAACTATGGCCTTCAAACGATCAGAAAACGAGTTACATGCTGCACGAATGTGATCTTTCGGTATTTTGGCCCATTCACGTATAATTGCTTTCTTCAGCGCATCCATACTGGCATATTTTTTAGTCCTCACCTTGCTCTCCAAAATACACTAGATGGAATAGTCCATCGGATTTGCGTCTGGCGAATTCGAAAGCCATTGTGTGGATGAAATGAAGTGTGGAACATGGTTTTTTAACCATTCTTGGTTCACAAGATGTAGCTTTATGAGATGGTGCCGAGTCTTGTTGGAACGTCCATGGTCTATAACCGAAATGTTTGCGTGCTTACAGCTCTAAAGCAGCTTTTAAAATATTTTCCCTATAAGAAGTTGCATTGACTTTGACACCAGATTCAATAAAAACGATTGGAGAGCGTCGATCGGCGGTTACAGCTGCTCATACCATTACTTGAGATGGGAAATTACTTCGGATGACCATTCGTAAGCTCAAACGTTCATAGGTGCGTTCGGTCAAGTAAAAACGATCATTTTGAGAGTTTATGAACTGCTCAATAGGGAAATTCTTTTCATCAGAGAACACTATGTGCGGAAATTCGCCACGTTCGTGCAGGCGCAACAACTTTGGTCTTTCAAGCCGAACTTTTTTTTGCTTTAGTGTAAGATTGTGTGCTTTTTGGAACTTGTAAGGCTTGACCTTGAGCTACTTTTTCAATAATCGTTGCATGCTTCGCTGTAATATTTTCAGTTCTTTGGTCATTTGATTACCACCAAGACGTGGATTTCGCTCAAGTCGAGCCTTCACTTTCCGAACCATTTCAGGTGATGTTGCTGTTTTTTTTTTCGTTCACCACCATAGCGTTTAGCAATGCTACCAGTATCATTTTAATGAGTAATGGTGCGATACACAAACATTTTATTTACTTTGAGGTGTTTGAGCTGACGAACACTAGCTGGTTGTGATTTTCCAGCCAAATATAACGCAACCACACTATTACGTTTAAATTCCATTGCGAATAACTTTTGTTGTATGTATAATGTGTTGTTTTAATTTTTTGTTAATATATTTATTAGTCCTTGTTTGGTGGTATTCCATTTCCAAATTATTCCGTCCATCGTTATCTTCTTGTATCCTTCTTTGATCTTTTTTCTTTTTGTTTCTCCTCCCTACAATTTTCCCTAAGTTTTTTTGTATTTCTTTTTATTGTTTAGTACTGTCATCATTAATGTATATTCTCTCCTCCTTGATTTATATTTATTTGCATAACCAGTTTTTTATCGTTATTTTTTAAGACATTAGACACCCAAGTATATTTAGTATACATCTTTGTGCTTATAAAAACTGGCTGTAATTTTCAGGCTATTAAATTGCATAGCTTAATCAATATTTTCCCATTCTACCTACATATTTACTACCTTTAGGTAAAAAAAGATAACAAAAAAATTGCAATTTTTACACGTTATAGAGAACATAAATTTACACTTTTTCACTTTTTCTGTACTGCTATTCGTATATAATTCCTTATTATTAAGCACAAATGCAAACTAACTGCAAGCTTGCTGTTAGTTTGCGTTTTATTCCCAATAAAGTTTTAGATAACAGTACACTGAAAGTTCGAAATCTTGCTATCATTATTTCGACGAATATTCAGAAACTTGATTAAGTTGTAAAAGTAATTAAATTGTAGTGTTTGGAGACTTGTACATGAAATAAAGCCATTTCTACACAGCAATAATTTTATATATACACTATCTTAGTGAGTTTGTATTAATTATTATGCGAAGGCACGAACGCGGATACAAAACTTATTGCTATGTTTATAATTTTGTAACTAAAATTTAAGCTTGAAACTAAAAAGACATCAACAGGAATGACTTCAGCAAAAAACGAATAAGAAAACAAAGAATTTTTATTAATCTAATTTTCCAGTTGATTGGTATCAAATACTATATGTTCTACTTCATTTTCTATGGCCGACAGAAACTGTTGAGCATGGAAAAAATCTTTCAAAAAAAATGTTGAGCATCTTTAATTTTATTTGGGTCAAATAAATAAATATCACCAGCACGAAAGCCCCCCCTTTAAGAAATTCCTTTTTTGATTCTAACCACTTCTCAGTAGGGTTTATTCTAGGCTTCCAAGGGCTAAAAAATGAGGGTATGTGGAAGGTCTAAAAAATGAATATATCTCCAGTGAAATGTGATTGTCTGGTGTGATTGTCAAGTATTAATAAAACAGGTGGATTAGGATGAACATGATATTTAAACTGGGGACACCTCTTCCCCTAAGGAAGGCGAATATCGGTAAATTGTATCTTTCTGTTCCTTGTTTTCTAAAATATATTCTGGGCATTTTCAATTAAATAATTAGTTTTATCTTACCTTAGGTACTTATATCTGCAGCGGTTTTTTGTGTTTGTACAAAGCAAGAAAATGATAAGATATGGAGTAATTTTACGGAGCGTAAATCATAATTTACATTAAAATTACCAATATAATTTTGCTTTCATTATTTGGTATAATGAAAATACCGAATTAATAAGAAATCTTAAATATCTATTTATTGTATACCTAAAGTGTATATAAAGTAATACAAGTTCACGTATTCAGTAAACTGGACGAAGCAAAAATAAGAAAAATAGGCTTGTTTTTTTTTAAACATTATTCTGTTTATTGACAAGTAAATTGTTAATTGTTAATTGTGAATAAAATTTTTAACAATATTTATTTTTTATTTAGTACTTACAATTGCACAAATATTATTGGCATAAATAATTTAAATTTTTCAGGCAGGTGAAAACCTACATCTGTACGTTACTGTGAGTGATGGTCAACTTACTGCAAAATCGGAAGTAAACGTAAACATCTTAGCAGCGAACTCCCGTTTTAATCCGTCTATGCCCATTAGACCACCTGCAAGAGGATTCATTAACTATCCAGGAATGATTCCAAGACCCGGACAACCACCGCCCATACCACCAAATTTTCCAAATAATAATCCATCTGTGATCAATCCTCCCACATTTATACCAAAGCAACCCTATTATCACGAAACTAGAACACCCTTACCACCCTTCACCAAAAACACCAATTCTAATACTAAATTAAAACCGGTGCGAATAGATGATGTTAAAAACACTATTAGCGAAAGAACCACAGAAACAACAACTACAACTACAGAAAAAATCACTACTGAAAAAGTTAGTCAAAATGATGTTGAGTCTACAAATGAATTATTAACGTCGGATTTACCCATACGATCAGCTGAAGAATTATCTGGAACGATAATTCCAATAGCCGCTGTGATTGGAGTTTTTCTAACGGTTGGCGGTATTGCATTTGCGTTTAGAAGGAGGATTTACAATCCTAAACAGAAAGACAGTAAGGACGATATGGTAAGCATTATATATACACATTCAAAAATCTCACAGTTTTCAACGCTTTCTCAACAGTTTCCATTTTTCAATTTTTCTTATAGATCTAAACAAGTCTTAGTTATCATCAAATACAACTGTTTTTTTTTAAGTAGGCAACATTCTGTATCATATATCATAAAACGCTAATTTTTTAAATACATCTGCCTGAAATGGTCATTAAGTTATTAAAATGCTGTCTTCATTTTTTACTTTGCTTCATCTCTTATCCTATTAACTGTTTTTAACTTTTTAAGCCTGATGTAAAAATGTTTAAAAACGCACCTAGTACTGACAATGGACAGACAAAAGCTATCTTTTCGTCCTGGTTATGTTGAATTCCTCCGACGATATTTAAATATTGACCGAGCATGCTCGCTCATAGTCTTATTCGGGCCGGAGACTTACCAACTTAAAACTACATTCCTCCACTCGGAAATGTCGGTTAGTTCACTCATGACATTAATGAAAAATTCGCGTATCATTCATACTTTAGACATTCACCATTCAAGATTTTGCGAAAATATGAGGCCGCAGCCCAAACTAACCAATATCGTGTACCAAAATATTGTAAGACAAGGTCAAAAGGCCTTTACAAACCTAGGTGTGTACTAACCTGGCCATAGGCTCCTACTTGGACTGATATTGATTCCTCCAGTATTTTCTTGTCTTGGTATGATTTTCCATTTCTCTTCTATCTATTTCTATTCAATTTATAGCCCATAATACATTTTTATGCACTATACATCTACTAAACATCATACTCTAGAGTGTATTCCACAGTGTTCGTCCTCCCCCAGTGAGCACTTTCGTGAGGAAGTACTCCATGCACCTGTGCCCATGGTTTTATGAAAAATTCTTTGTTTCATTTTATTCTCTTTCTTCTTCTTCTTCTTCTGTAAGTACCGTTTTCTTTAAGAAGGATAAACACAGATAAGATTAAAGAAAATTACAATTGTACCATTGTCTCTCACCACCATGCGCTGTCAGCAACGTATATCTTTCACCTCTCATGAAATGACCCAGATACTGCAATTTCCTTATTTTAATATATCCTTTTTCTTATTAATTCTTTTTAAAAACGTCCTCGTTCGTAACCTTATCGACCCAACTTATCTAAGCCTCCATTTCATATGATAATACAGAAAATACATAGCACATAATTAATTGTACCTAAAGTTAAAGTTGAATATATGTTGAATGACTGGCTTTTTCTATATGTGATTTGATCTCTTGTGTATAATCATTGTTTTAGGTTACGATTGTTCTCAAGTATCTATATCTGTCCAGCTTTTGGACAAGTTCATCCCTAATCTAATCCCTAAACTATCTACAATCTTATTTATTAGTAACTGACATTCTTCAGCAGATTCTGAGATTATTAATGTGTTATCGGCTTGTCTGATATTATTTAAAGGGTCTCCGTTGACTTTTTCTCATTTTCTCTAATTTTTTTTGAATTTAACTATATATACCTTGTTAATTTTCGATGTTTATGTTCCTGTACAATCTCCTCTTTTCCATAAATTGTAGCATTTCATCATTTATTCATAATTGTGTTGTATTACTATTTTTCTTTCCCTTTAGGATCTCCTTCGTTGGATTTAGTATTACATTTTTAAATATTTTCAATTTTCATTTCGAATAATATTTTTTTGGAGCAGTTATCTTTATTTCCTCAATAATTTTTTTGGGCAGCTGATCTCTTACAAATGAATCGTTTAAAAATAAACGTTGTATTCAATTCTTATTGCAACGTGCAGTTATTTTTTTTAATCGGAGATGGAATGTTACAACAACGGGATTATGGTCTGCACTGCATCAGTCCCCGAGTATGTTTTTGCTGATTTAATGGAGTTTCGAAAGCTTTTTCTTGTTAAAAGATAGTCTATCTGGTTTCTTATAACTTTGCTATCACTATCCACAGCCGACCTTTAGGTGAAGAGTCTGGGATTAGGTAATTTAAAGTTAGTATTTGTAACTACCAGACTGTTCTGTTGCCAAAACTCCAACAATCTGTTTCCCTCACATTTCTTAAATCCAGTCTATATATCCCAACAATATCTTTTACTTCTCCTTTTCTCTTACTTTTGAGTAGGAATCACCCATAATAACTGTGATATCTCTATGCTTTGTATTATCCAGAGCATGTACATCTTTATAAAACTGTTCCATTTCAATTTCTTTTGATGGCAGATGTCAATTGATTTATTTCTCTCCTCTTTCTATCACGCTTCTGTCATTGTTTCTTTCGCGTGCTGTTACTTGCAGCGAGGTATTACATGTGCTTACATTCATAGTTTTAGATTTTAACATAGTTTTCTGGATCAGTTCTTAAATTTTGGTAAGAAATATTCTTGTATTTATTTTTTTGAAAGTTATAGTTTATGTTTGTCTATAACATCTACCCATTCCTTTTCTTTAGAATACTGTATATATTTCTTTAACAATTATAGAAGTCTCCAGACTTCTACAGATCTGCTGTATATAATTTCTTCACTTTTATTTGGGCCTGGTGGACTCTCATGAGTCTTATACCAACGAGACATTAAATCTTCCCATAGCGACGATAATTTCTATTACAGTTACGTGACTGTGGTGAGAGTTTGCCGGTAGGACCTTGATTGCGGTCATTGAAACTTATTTTTTGAAACATCCCCTTGTACGCGCACTTTACATTCGACTTTCATCATTGTCATTTTAATTAAGTCTACCAAACCTTTTGGTATTCCTAATTCGATCATCGCTGAATATGATTGGGACCTGTCAATATTATTGTACGCTGCCTTAAAGTCTACGAAGATGTAATGGCAGTCTATGTCGTTCTCCGTCGTTTTTTCTTTTTATGTCTTATATTTATTTTTTTATTCGTATCTATTTCTAGTAGTGTGCTGATTTTTGTATACTTTTTCTTTCCTAGTGCTATCTTTTTATACTTTTATAATTATAATTTATATATATATTATAAGTTTGTTAACTTTTATTGCAGAAGTTACTTTTAAATTTTTCTTATTGATACTTCTTGGAGTAATTCCAAGTTATATTGGTTTATTATGTTTAAAATATAATAATCTAAAAGAATCTGTGGTAGAAGTTTGTATAATCTTCTATAATAATAAAAAACAGACATAACTTTTCTGTATACATTTATTTGTTTTATAGCGAAAGGTATCTTCCAATGGAACAGCAGTAAATGAAGATCCAGGCTTTAATATGCAGGAATGGAGAAGACCGAGAGCTTTTAGTAACCGGTACGAACCGTGGTATACGGATCAAGGTCGAATACCAGTAAGTATTCTTTAATTAATAATATACAAATTTTTGGGCAAAATTAACATAAATATTAATATTCATTAGGGAATTTATTTTTTATTTATTTAGCGTATGGCATTATCACATATATGTTACAATCTAACATCTAATGTATTAATATATTCAATCGACGCTGGGGTTGCAGAGGCGAAGTCTAGAGGATCTCCATAATACTTCCTCCGAGGGCATTCGGCAATCATATGCTGGATGGTCTGTTTCTCGGCGCCGCAGTCGCACTCAGCAACGGTTCTCATCCTCCATTTATAAAGGGAATCTGCGCAGACTCCATGACCCGTTCTTATCCTGTTAAGAGTTGACCATGATTTTCGGGGGAGGTCAAAACCTGGTGGAGTTTCTGTGATGCATGGTGTGTTTCTCATTATTAGGTTCGGTCTGTTGCTCTGCATGTTCATCCACTGGGAGTTCATTTGGAAATTGTTGGAACTCAAGTTTATTGCATCTCTAGTCGGAGGTTTTCTGGAGCGCAATCGGTGTGAATTAGCGTCGGCGACATATGTGTGTATAGGTAATTGCGGGTTGTTAAGCAGCTTTTGGGATTCCCTAAGCAGAGCATGCTGACGACGAAGATTAGGTGGAGGTATATGGCTCAGTAGTGGAAGCCACTCCACAGGTGTAGACTTGATCGTTCCAGATATGAGACGCATGGCAACATTGAGCTGGGTATCTATAATTTTTGTGTGAACGCTAATAAGCCAAACAGAAGAGCAGTATTCAGCTGCGGAGTATACGAGTCCAAGGGCTGAACACCGAAGTATGCCTGCTGATGAGCCCCATGTAGTCCCGCAAAGCTTCTGTATGATGTTGTTACGGATTCTCAGCTTTTCTGCGGTGTTCTCAAGATGTTTCTTAAAGGAGAGTGTTCTGTCCAGGGTGACGCCGAGGTACTTGGGATTATAGTTGTGCGTGAGCAGTTGGTTATCAATGTATACTTTAAGTTTTGTGTGGGCCATTTTGTTGTTTAGGTGAAAACAGCTAACCTCGGTTTTTTTGGGGTTAGGTTTAAGTCTACATTGTTTAAAGTACTTAACCAGGCGTTCCAGATCTTCCGTTAGGATTGCCTCGGAGTTTTGTGTTAAGGAGCTTTGAGTTGCAAGTGCCTAGTCGTCTGCATATCCAATTTTTTTAGATCTGGTAGGGGGCATATCAGCTATATACATACTAAATAGCAGCGGTGCAAGTACGGAGCCCTGGGGGAGGCCATTATTAAGCGTTCTCTGTTTGCTCACTGTAGTTCCCATGGTTACACTGATGTTTCTACTGCTCAGCATAGTATTTATAAGTCGGGCGGTTGCTTTGCAGGGGATTATTTTAAGGAGCTTAAAGATGAGGCCATCTTTCCAAACCGTGTCATAGGCAGCCAATAAATCGATGATTTATCGGCTGCCTATGACACGGTTTCGAGCGGCATTAGGGAATGCTAGTACGTTATTTGTATAACTGTTGCATTAACATCTTTTATCAATTCCCCAAATTTGTAACATTTTTTTAAATGCTTTCTTTTTATTGTTTTCTAAATAAAATCCTCCAATATACGAAACTACTGAGTGTCTATCTACTTTGAAATATTTTTTACTGCTTTTTGGAAACTTTCAAAAGTGTAACATGATTTGAAATGTTATAGACCAAAGATTTTGGTTTTGTTTATTGAATATGTGATCAGTTGGAATCAGTGTTTAAATTTTCAAGAAGCAGACCACGATTAACAACTTTAAGCAATATTGTGTTATACCTGTATATTACCTAAAAAAGCTTGAGAGTTGCTGAATCTTTGGCACGTTCAACATTCATATCTTTGTCACCTTTTGAATTACTAATGTGACTAAATGTCTGATTAGATTTTTTTTTATTTCTGGTAACGATTTACATAAATATTTTTCGATATTTTGGTCATGTATCCTTTACTCGTTCTAAACGAAAAATATACTTATATAAAAAAACTACACTATCAAAAAGAAGGAATTCTGAGGTGACTCTTTCCAATTATCGAGCTTTAGTTAATCTGGTGTATCTCTCCCAAATCGTTCTGATGCATCTGTGCATAAAATGTGTCAGAATAATAATATTATTGGTTATTATATTAAAAACTATTGAAAATATCTACAAAAACAACAAAATGGAAGTTAGAATAGATGGACAACTTACAGATTCTATAGTTGCCTACTGTAGTATATAAATGTTTGCGCAGTTTTGTGTCCAAACTTTAAATATTAACTATTATAATATATACAATAAGATGTTTTTGCATTTACGTAATTATCTCAAAGCTCTGGATAAAGTTGTTTTACCCGTAATAGTGTATAGTGTAGAATAAATCAAATAAATCTTTTCCACTGGCACTGGTAGTATAATGATTTTACATTCCGAACGAAAGTGTAGAAATACCTAAGATTTGTGTTCTGCGAGTTTCCGACAAGTGTTTTAGCACAAGAGATTTATTTAACTTATATGAAGGGTATTTGCTGTTACAAAACGGAGATCTTCTTAAATCAAAACATTTTATAGATACTTCTTGTTGGCATTTACAGTTGAAATTACTGGAATATATATTATACAGAGTCGCATTTGAGCTTAAATAAAATAAATCAAGCACATAATAGAATTTTTAGTCTTCTTTCATTTAAATATTACATAGTGTACATTTTTAATATAAATTTACATCATCTGACCCATTTCTTCCATGATTTCCTATGGTTTGTCATAAGGTTTATTATTCTCTAAAGTTAAGCTATCTTATATTTTCTTTTTTAATATTTTTTATTTGATTTGTCCATTCCTCCTTAGGTTTTCTTTAAATGTAATTATAATTTCGAATTTTTTTAATTCCCAGTGTCCGATTCTTCTTGACCGACGATGATAAAATGAAATGTTTAAATCGTGGAGTAAAATATAGTTTTATTTAATTTAGTTTAAAATCCGAAAATGTTGCCTAAAATTAAAAAAAAAAACATAATTGAAGCTGTTTTCTGGAATGTATATTATTTGTAATATTCAAATAATTTCATATCTCGAAAGTTTCCCACACGTAGAACTAATATTAATGCACCTCTCGTGTTTGTAAGCAACTTCACTGATAACATTTACTGTTTCCACATTCAAACATAGCTTAAATTAATTTCCTCAACTATTAATCGCATACGGGATGTGGCGCTTACTTGAAACATATTGCGGCTAATGGTTAATAGTGTGGGTCATGCCAGGTATATTAGCTGTAATACCGAAAATTATTTAAGTAGTTATATTGTAATAGTTACAAATCTTGAAATATCAGAATAGTAACAGTGTTGTTTCAAAATATTAACAAATTTTGATTAATGTGTTAAAAATCTTTAGGAACTATATCAAAAGGCAAAATTAGTGTATCAACTATAGTACATTTAAAAACGATTAATACCACAAATTTTATATCAAGGATCCAAATACCCGACAATGATAACCCCGACCCACTAGCGTCATATAAACTTATAATTTGTAATATAAATATATAAATACATACCTAAATACATAAGATATCTTCTTGCGAGGAGTCATCATTATCATCTCAGTTTCTTCAGTTTCTCATGTCTCACCCTGTATACCTGTCTCACCCCCTGTAACCACGATGTTAGTTTTTTTGTTTTTTTTTGTCCTGATCCAGGGCTCGAATCATCTTCCACTAAACCAATTAGACAATGAAGCGAATGCGGGTCGGCCCCCTTTTCCACTATCTGACCTATCTATGTGAACTATCTAATGAGTAACAAGTTTGTGCCAATTTAAAACATTTTTAGTTCTAATAGATAAGACATTTGGTATACTAAACTATAGAGAACAAACGTGAAACAAGTAGTTTTATTTTGTTTTCTACCTTTTGAGAAAACTTTAGAGTAAATTAAGTACATTGGAGCGTTTTGAACCCTTCATATATTTTTAACTATAAAAGTGCTGGCACATTTTCCTCATAACTAAGTTAATTTTCCAATATATAATTTACAGGTAGGGAATCAAGCATCGTCTCCAGTGAAAGATGTCGACCGGTGGGAGTTTCCTAGACATCGGCTGAAGTTTTTCAATATTTTAGGCGAGGGAGCTTTTGGCCAAGTTTGGAAATGTGAGGCTTTGGATATGGATGGTATGTATGATCAGGGCCGTTTTGACTCCTTTTATATTTTTAGGAAAAAATGTATACATATTAAATTTGTATTAAAAACTATTTATTTTATACAAGTTCCATTATGGTATTTATATCAATGTTTTCAATGATTTTCTTTAGGCAACAAGTAATAATATTAGTATTTAGTTAACTTTGACTTTTGTTTTTTGATTTTGATTTATCACCCGTGTTGTAATTCTTTAACATGCATTTCCATTAAATTGCAAATAATACTGTATAATAAGAAATACTTATTCAGACATTGTTTAGAAGAAGAAGACACATCATTCCAAAAAATCATCATCATCATCATCATCTTGGTGCTACAGCCCTTAGAGGGCCTCGACCTTCTCAAGCTTTACACGCCATTCAGTTTTGTCCCTTGCTTGAATTTTCCCGGCGGGCGTAATTTCGGCCGGTAATCCCTTGGCCTACCTGCATAAATCAAGGGGTACCATTTATGACAGGGGTAATTTCGGCCGAGGGCTTGATGTTTACGATGAGATTAAAATATTGGTAATTACGCTTAATAGTTTCTGTTAGTAAAATTCACAAATACCAGGTATAAAATTATTATAGCTAGTCAGTATTAAAACTTATCTTGAAGCTACTAGTCGATAGAAAGCATTAAATATATTATTTGTATACGATGGCATCTGTTTCAGTAATTAAGAGTTCACGCGGTTGTGACTTACTAGTTGTAGAAAAGTTTCAGTTTTGTAAACAGGACGTATTAAAAAGTGGTGAAGTACGTTGGAGGTGTATAAAGAAAAATTTAAGATGTTTAGCCAAACTGTACACTGTTGGTGCGGAATACACAGTTACTAGAAGTGAATTAATCCACAACCACGAGTCCGATGAAACTACGTTGGAGAGAAAAATAGTGACGACTTCATGCAAGCGCAAAGCTGAGGAAGACATATCGGAGAAACCTTCAAAAATTATTAAAAGCGTTCTTTCAAATCATTTGCCAGAGAATTTGTCATCGATAGATGTCAGTCTAATAAGAAGAAATTTGTACAACAGCCGCCGTAAGCTCTTACCAGCCCTGCCTAAGTACATGTACATTCTGTACTCGATAGTTATGGACCGAAAACCACAACAGGTGAAAATTTTTTGTTTATTAACAGCACAGCTGATAATATCATTGTTTTTCCTTGCCATACAAATATAATAAGTTTATGTAAAATGAAAGATTTTTACATGGATGGCACATTTTCTTATTGTACAAAATATTTTTATCAGTTATTTACCATCCATGGACTGGAAAATGGGCACTATGTTCCTCTTTTGTATTGTCTGTTGCCCAATAAGACCAGTGACACATATATGAGACTTTTTCTGTTGGTAAAATCTAAAATTTTTGAACTTTATAATATTGTTTTTGAACCGAAGGAGGTATTTGTGGATTTTGAAATCGCAATTCATAACGCATTAAAAGTTGTCTTTCCCAAAACCAAACTAAATGGTTGTAGATTCCACTTGCACCAGGCGTGGTATAGGAAAATACAATCATTAGGGTTAACCCAAATGTATAAAGATAAAAACTGCGAGGAAAGCAAATGGCTTACTCATACTTTTGGGCTAACTTATTTAGACCCCTCTGAAGTTGAAGATTGTTTCATATTTGATCTCATGTCATACAAACCGGACCATAAACTTATAGATAAATACGCAGACTATTTATTAGAAAACTACATAGCGCCAGAATCTCATTTTCCACCAAATATATGGGCATATGAAAACCCATCAATTAAAAGAACCACAAATGCCTGCGAATCATTCCATTCGCACTTTAATTCTAGTTTTTATTCAAGTCACCCTTCTATATTTATTTTTATAGAAAAATTAAAAGATTGTCAGATCGATGCATATTTAAAAATAAAAAATTTAAATATTCCAGCAAAAATTAAAGACAAACAAGTAAAACACAAACTAAAATTTATTGAAAACATGGTAAATATGCTTCGATCTGACAATATTTCTAGAATTAATTTCGTTAAATCTGTATCACATCAACACGTTTTTTAAAAATTTATAGTTTACTTAAGTTACAGAAATAAGTTGATGTAATAATTTTATTGAAATAAAGAAATATTTTAATATACAGTATTATGTTATTTTATTTGATTTGCGGCCGAAAATACCTATGAGATAAGGAAGCAACTTAAAACCTCCGGCCGAATTTACCTACCGGCTTTTAGTACCTGCTCTTTTTCCGGCCGAAATTACATCCGCCCGAATTTTCCAGTTGCCGACTCCGATCTTCTCCGAATCTTGTGTTACCCCATCCATTCACCTCAGCTATGGTCTACCCCGTCGTCTCATTCCCACAGGTTGCGCTGTTAGAATATTTTTCATCATGTTCGATTCAGGGGCCCGGGCTACATGTCCTGCCCACTGCAGGCGGTTTCGCTTAATTATAGTGGTAATATCTTTACCACCAAACGTATGCTTGTAGATATTCTGCAGTTCGAAGTTATATCTACGCCTCCATATTCCGTTCTCACAGACCGCTCCAAATATCTTGCGTAGCACCTTTCTTTAAAAAATGGATAGAGCGGATTCATCTGTTTTCGTTAGCGTCCATGCCTCTGATCCGTATGTGAGAACGGGGACTATCAGTGTTCTATACAGCCTTAGACGAGTTTTTTGAGACAGACGTTTGTTAGCTAAGTACTTTGATAGACCATAATAACACCTGTTTGCAATTATTATTCGCCTTTTTATTTCCTCAGATGTATTGTTATTGGGGTTGACCAATGTCCCTAGATATATGAACTCATTGACTGCTTCGAAGTTTTGGTCATTGATGATTAAATTTGTGTCAACATTTCCAGCTCTTGTAAACAATTGCAAACAATTAAAACTTTCACGGCTAGTGTTGGTTATTATATTATATTAATAAAAATAAGAATTTAACCATTAACAATTTTGTAAATAAGAGTACCTTATCTCTTTGGGTATTTCAATACTACTCTTCGCGTTTAATCACTTTACTAGAAAACCTGGAATTCATATCGGAAGGTGCTATTCGTTGCAAGATAATTAGAAGGGAATTCTCCAGATTTTTATTAATATAATGGGTATAGATGCTTTGCCCACGTGCCTCGTCTGTTCAGTTTATATTCGAAACCTAATTTAAAAGGGTGAAGATATTACGAACGGAAACAATTTTTTTGTTTAGTACGTTTTTGATTGCATGTAATTTACGGCTCGTCGGTGTTTCCGCGTCTACGGTGGTAATTAGCGTCTCGAATATTTCTTTTGCGAATTATATACAGTGCGTAAGTGATTTTTTATTCCATATACCTAAGAACATATATGTACCTTTCGCTCGTGCTCGTTTTGTTGGAATGTTTGTGATGGCTTCATCATTAACATCATCAAGTTTTACACCGGCACTGTTGCGTACAGTCAATAAGTATGTCTATTCACCAAGAGAGAAGACTATTGTCCTGAATGTTCATGATGCACTGGTTTCTCAGAATCCCACAAACACTGTTTGCAACATAGTCGAAAGTTGTGCCAACATGACTGGCGTATGGGAGTCAACTATATATAGGTTCCCATCAAAAAGAAAAAAATACGGTATAGCTAACCCAAATACAAACGAACACTTAGAGGGAAAAAGCCTATTGAAATTGATGAATTTTCCAAAAATGATATTTGAAGGAAAATTCATGGATTTTTGTTTCAAAAAAGAAATACCAAACCTAAACAAAATTTTACAAGAAGTTAGAGACGATCCGGATTTGCCTCTTATCGGACGAACTAAATTGTGGCAAGTTTTAAAAGAATTAAATCTCCGGTAAGAGAAATCAGACCGAAAATCACTTTTGATTGACCCTGAGAAACTCAGGTCATACTCTAAAAAAAATTTGGTCAGATAAAAATATATTAAGCTCCAGGCAAGCCTTTATGGAAGGTTGGTCTACTGGTATCTCCCTACCTTCTGGTAAATGCAGTAGATGGCACTGAAAAAGGATTTGTTAAGCATGGTTTGTTAAAATTTCAGTCCAAAAGCACAGAAGACTATCACGAGGAGATGACAGCTGATGTTTTCGAAGAAGATTTTGAGCAGCTATTGAACACATACCACCTAATTCAATTATAGTATTAGATAATGCACCTTATCATTCACAACTAGTAGAAAGACTTCCAACGACTGCATGGAAGAAACAGGATATTCTTGACTGGCTGCGGAATAAGTATCTGCCTTACGAAGATAGAATGGTCAAAGTAGAACTTTTAAAAATTGCCCGGCAACACAAATCTAAGTTTAAGAAATACGTAGTTGACAAAATGGTGGAAAGGCGAAACATCACAGTTTTTAGACTTCCAACCTACCACTGCGAAATAAATCCAATTGAACTCATTTGGGCACAAATGAAAAGTTATGTGGCTAGAAAAAATACGTCATATAAAATACAAGCTGTAGGTACGTGAATTGTTATACGAGTCTTTACAACATATTACAGAACAAAACTGGAAAGATGCAATAAGACATGTAATAGAAGAGTAACAAAAAATGTGGGATCTTGATAACATAATTGATGCGACCGTAGAGACAGAACCGCTAATTATTAACCCTCAAGACGACTCGGATTCCGAAGTTTATTTTGAATTTGAATAGTTTTTTATCGTAATTATATATAAAGGTTAGTATTAGTAGTTGTAATCGTAAGGTTTTACTGTCAAAATGTTCAATGTGTTTTAATGTGTTTTAAATGTCAAATCCTGAGAAAACTAAAAAGCATTTTTGAAAAATTTAAAGGCAGAATGAAATATTTGTTAGAATAAATAAAACATATTCTCTCTTATATTTCACCCCTGTTACATAATATATTAAAATAAACATTGTAGAAGTTTTCAGGGACTTTCGGCCCTCAGTAATAATGTAATCTTTCATTCTGCGTTTAAATTTTTCAAAAATGTTTATTAGTTTTTCAAAAATGTTTATTAGTTTACCGGATTCGAAAATAATGGATACATTTAAAACACATTGAAAATTTTGCCAGGCGACATTTGGCGCCTTTCCCCTTAATTAAATAAATGTATCTTTTACAAATGGCAAGAAACTTTTTATTTTGGAATAAAATAAAGAAGTTTTATTAAAACAAAAATACAATATTGTTCTGAAGCTATTTTCTTGTGGCGTTGTAAATGAATTACTATTTAACTGGGAATAAGCCACAATTAAAGATACAAATACGTTTATTGACGTTTCAATTTCCACTTCGGAAATCGTTCTCAAAATACAAACAGTAAATTGTTTAATTTACTGTTTAATTTATCTATTATTTTCATCTAAATTTATTCTGATAGTAAAGTAAGCTGAATTTTTTATTAGAAAACGGACCTGCCTTAAAATACTCCCACGTTGAGTCTTTCAAAATACCTTAACCCCAATTTTAAAATACTCTAAAAGATTACTTTCACTGATAAGATCTTCCTGTAAAATTATTCAGTTGATCAAATTGAAATAACCCAAATATTTCTGAGTACAACATCTTGAACGATTTAAAATTGTTTTATTTTTATTAATTTATTAAAAAAATGTTTGGTAAAAACAAAACTTATAACTGGGTTTTTACCAATAATATTGCAAAAATTTAAATAATATCATATAGGTACCTAGAGGCTAAAAGTAAAAGCTACAATCTCTGCTTCAGAAAATTTTACAGGAGAGTAAAAAGAAAACTCGAGGTGGTGAGAAAATCAGTAAAACTAAAAGGTTTACAAATAATTATAGTACAAAATCATGGTTTTAAATAATGCCAGAGCATTTTTTTACCAAATTTTCATAGATGTTAAAATCTTACACTGTCATCCATATCCATCGCCTTTCTCCGTCGAGCATGTATTCCCATATTTCTCACATCTTTAACGATGTTATCAAGAAACCTTGTTTTGGGCTTTCCTCTTCTTCTCTGACCAATGGTTCTATCAAGGAGCGTTTTTCTAGCTGAGTCATTTTGTTCCATCCGCATTACATACCCTAACCATCTCACATGTCCTATCTTAATATGTTATACTGGTATATTCTATGGGATTTAAGGAGGAAATGGAACCCAAAATAGTATCTGCTGGCCCTACAAATTCGCTCACAGGTATACAAATTCGTTCACTGCTTCTATGACGCCGTATTCTTCAACAAGTGGTCGTAATATTTGTGATTGCGTGCTTATTTTCATATGCTTTGTTGTGTTTATTTTATTTATTATTAAACCCATTTTTGTAGCTGATTTTTTTAATGCTACATACGCCTCTCGTTCAGAGTTTTCCGTGTTCCCAACAATATTGATATTATCAGCATAGTCCAGAGTTTGCACTGATTTACTATATATTGAACCAGTGGTTGTGATTTGTGACATATGTATTCAATTCACAGAGTCATAGGCTGCTTTGTAGTCTATAAATATGTGATAAGTGATAATATCAACGCCATATTCCAGTATTGTTTTCAAAATTTGTTTCAGGGTAACAATCTGATAAATTGTCGATTTACCATCTCTAAAACCAGCCAGGTATTTTCCTACTATCTCTTCTACATATGGTGCCATACGGTGACATAATACTATATAAAATATTTTATATGCTGCATTTAGAAGCGTAATTCAGGTTAATTATTTTTAGAGCATTCAAAGATATCTCCTTTTTTGTGTATGGTGCAAAGTAGTCCAATATTCCAATCATTATGAAGAAATTTCTGTGTTCATATTTCTTTTATAAGCTGCTATAATGCCAATTGGGTATTATCGCCACCTTCTTTATATAGTTTAGCTGGGTGATTTGTTTCTGGATAGTTTTTTAACTGTATCTTTAACTTCAATAATCGTTGGTGGTTCCTCTTTCCTCTCGTCTTTTGTCCTTACCCCATCTCTTTTGTCTTCCAGGTTTTCTTCTTTTTCCTCTATATTAAGTGCCTGGTTAAAGTATTATACCCATTTATTCAATACATATTTCCTTGTTGTTAGTAGGTCGCAATTCGGACTTCTGCATTGTCTTGTGGTTGCCTTAAATCCTTTTTTGTTAATGTTAACTTTTTTATAAAATGCTCTGAATTATTTTTCTCTGTTGAGGTATATATGGCAATTGGTATTAATATTTACCAGAATTGCAAAAAGCAATTCTTTTTTAATTGGATTTTAAAAATCTGCTGTTAAGGGTTAAACTTTTTGTTTCACAGTGGCTAACCCCCTATCAGGCTGCACGAATAAATGTCCACAGACTGAAACACTAATTTAAGACATTGAAGAGTTTCTGGGGCATATAAAAGATATTTTTAGCACAAAACAAGAATAATTTAATTTTTATTTTGTCTTCTACACCCGTCTGAGGAGTGCGTCAGTTTATTTTGTTCAGTTTAGTTTAAAGTCCGTTTTGTTTAAGAAATGAAAGATATATGCGGTTAAGTATTAGATTCTTTTTTGTAAAATCCTCAATAAAAGTAGCTAGTCCACTTTAGTTTAATTGCCTTTTCCTTGGAGCTACCTGTCACAGTAAGAATATTAAGATGGCCGCATGTAATATGTTTCGTCATCAGGTATTATGGAAAGAGGCAAAGTTTTTTGAAAATCAAAAGAAGAATTCATTCCTTAGGGATCTTTTATTAAATGATCCCATCATGTCTATGCTCATTTTTTGTGTATGGTTTTTTTGTACGATTACTTCATGGTTTTTCTGAGAATCCTTTTCAAATTTTATTCCTTCTTTAGGTGGTCCTATGTACGCTGAATACATATTTAAACGTGGGCTTTCAAAATCAATGTTAAACTTTTTACTTAAAACAAACTTTCTTTCATGTTTAAATTTTCAACAACTTTTTCATTGTACGTTTTATATGAATAAATTATTAACAATACGACCATATGAGAGCATACTTAGGTTGCAATTAGGATCAATTAAACAATATTTAAAAAATTTCCATTAAACTAAATTTAAATTCTACTCTAGATATTACTTTTTAGAAAAAAAATTTAACACCTTTCAAACTCTGTAAGTTGTAAGTGAATAATGAGAAAATTTAAATGAGGAACGTTGCAAATAGTAAATATTAGAAATGTGCCTCTTGCCAAAGCTTTAAAAACTTTTTGTGTTCGCCACAAGGAAGTTTTGAAAGTTAATAATTTAGGGCTTCTTGAAGTCTAATTTTCCGAGAAACAAAGTGAATTCTCTATCTACTTTTAAAGTGTATTAATCATTATTATTTTGTGAAAAACAGATAGTAGAAAAAGAAAAAAAAAAACAAGCGATACCAAAATATAATGGAATTGGTTATAAAAAAGAGATACCAGATTGAATTCATTTAAAAAGAGTTTATTATCGTATAAATTACAATATTTATCCAACATAGTATTATTTTTTGGCAAATCTAAATTCTTTTAAACATTCATTCAATTTCAACAAGTCTGTTTTTTCTTATTATAAATTGTCAAAGGTTTGCTATACAATGGGCGCAAAGCTTAGTTCATAATGCATAAGCTTGTAAACTATATTTCAGACTGCAGCTCGTCCCCTTGGTCTCTTTAGTAAAGGTGATGTTTGCCTTGGTTGCAGGATATTATGTGTTTGTCTTATTCGCAGAACAGTCGAGTCGTTTGCTGTGATATGTATCCAACGTGCTTTTGTTAGTTTATTGTTGTCTTTCTTTCTTTTATCGATCGCACGTGAGTTTACCTAGAAACTCGAGGACGACTATAGCGGTAACGGACTTCGTCAGGTCTTTTCACGCTATAAAAGCTCCTGAATAAGTAGTCTTATAATAAACGCCTGAATAAGCAGTCCACAGCCCTACTGATCGAGAAGATACATCAGTAGTCCGTAATAATTTACATATTGTAGATGTCTAGATTCGCAGTTAATAAGCATAGGCTCCATCTAATTACGTTATTAGATAATCTTTATTAAACCATTTTTTGGACATAACCATTTTATATAGGTTTTTTAAACACATTTGATTATTTATCTCTGTACACATAAGTATCAGTTACAGTGATCATTACTTGCTGTTAACTATATCGCATAGTCAAGCTGCTTTTTCTAAGAATAAATTAACTTAATATAACTTTTTTTATTTATTAAATTTTGTCTTATTTTTATAGGAAACGATACCGGAGTTGCAGTGGTGGCGGTAAAAACCCTAAAAGAAAACGCAAATGAAAAGGAAAAGTCGGATTTATTGTCTGAACTTCAAGTGATGAAGATGCTTGAACCTCATCCTAACGTAGTTAGATTACTAGGTTGTTGCACAGACAAAGAACCCATATTTCTTATAATGGAATACATAAGTAAAGGAAAGTTGCAAAGTTTTCTAAGGAATTCTAGAGCGGAGAGGTATTATAATAACATGCACGGCCAAAGTCGATCTCTAACCTCAAGAGATTTAACCTCGTTTGTTTACCAAGTAGCCAAAGGGATGGAATTTCTTTCAACAAATGGGGTAAGTTGCTATATTTAACCAACATTTGTCAATGTTAATTGTCTTATTCTCTTATTGTATTTCTATAATATTGCGCATTTTATCCCTTAACTGTTGAGGTGCACAATATGTTGCGTACTAGCTGACGTGGGGTCTTGTAATGTTTTTTTCGCTTATTTTTTTATAAATTAAATAGTTGTTTACATATTGTGTATTTACATATTACATTAAACTACTAAAAAATAGTAGATTTTAAAGAGCTGTCATGATTATAACATGATTATTTAACACGTTTTGAATAAAACCCTTTATTTTGACAAGCATAAACTTTATTATGGAGAGAATTATGTTGGGGATTTCTCTACGTGATAGAATACCCAATGCTACTATACGCAAAAGATCAGGAGTAGCAGACGTTATTGAAAGGATAACCACACTAAAGGGGGCAGGTCATGTAGCAAGATCAGTTGATGACCGGTGGACAAAAAGAATTTTGGAATGGAGACCCCGAATACAAGCTTACAGAAAAAGAGGTCGACCCCCAACGAGAAGGACAGATGACATAAAAAGAGTGACTACAAATTGGGTTCAGATGGCGCAAAATCGGACTAAGTGGAAAAGCATGCGAGAGGCCTATGTTCAGCAGTGGACGTTAGAGGCTAGTTGACGATGATGATGAAACTTTATTAGTAATTAAAAAAAAATTTGATAAGAATTTTAACAGTTACTCTTCAAAACCACAAAATAAAACCATATTCTTATAAAAAAGATAATCTATCTATCTATCTATCTATCTATCTAATCTATCTATCTATCTATCTATCTATCTATCTATCTATCTATCTATCTATCTATCTATCTATCAATCTATCTATCTATCTATCTATCTATCTATCTATCTATCTATCTATCTATCTATCTATCTATCTATCTATCTATCTATCTATCTATCTATCTATCTATCTATCTATCTATCTATCTATCTATCTATCTATCTATCTATCTATCTATCTATCTATCTATCTATCTACTATCTATCTATCTATCTATCTATCTATCTATCTATCTATCTATCTATCTATCTATCTATCTATCTATCTATCTATCTATCTATCTATCTATCATATCTATCTATCTATCTATCTATCTATCTATCTATCTATCTATCTATCATCTATCTATCTATCTATCTATCTATCTATCTATCTATCTATCTATCTATCTATCTATCTATCTATCTATCTATCTATCTATTATCTATCTATCTATCTATCTATCTATCTATCTATCTATCTATCTATCTACTATCTAATCTATCTATCTATCTATCTATCTATCTATCTATCTATCTATCTATCTATCTATCTATCTATCTATCTATCTATCTATCTATCTATCTATCTATCTATCTATCTATCTATCTATCTATCTATCTATCATCTATCTATCTATCTATCTATCTATCTATCTATCTATCTATCTATCTATCTATATCTATCTATCTATCTATCTATCTATCTATCTATCTATCTATCTATCTATCTATCTATCTATCTATCTATCTATCTATCTATCTATCTATCTATCTATCTATCTATCTATCTATCTATCTATCTATCTATCTATCTATCTATCTATCTATCTATCTATCTATCTATCTATCTATCTATCTATCTATCTATCTATCTATCTATCTATCTATCTATCTATCTATCTATCTATCTATCTATCTATCTATCTATCTATCTATCTATCTATCTATCTATCTATCTATCTATCTATCTATCTATCTATCTATCTATCTATCTATTATCTATCTATCTATCTATCTATCTATCTATCTATCTATTATCTATCTATCTATCTAATCTATCTATCTATCTATCTATCTATCTATCTATCTATCTATCTATCTATCTATCTATCTATCTATCTATCTATCTATCTATCTATCTATCTATCTATCTATCTATCTATCTATCTATCTATCTATCTATCTATCTATCTATCTATCTATCTATCTATCTATCTATCTATCTATCTATCTATCTATCTATCTATCTATCTATCTATCTATCTATCTATCTATCTATCTATCTATCTATCTATCTATCTATCTATCTATCTATCTATCTATCTATCTATCTATCTATCTATCTATCTATCTATCTATCTATCTATCTATCTATCTATCTATCTATCTATCTATCTATCTATCTATCTATCTATCTATCTATCTATCTATCTATCTATCTATCTATCTATCTATCTATCTATCTATCTATCTATCTATCTATCTATCTATCTATCTATCTATCTATCTATCTATCTATCTATCTATCTATCTATCTATCTATCTATCTATCTATCTATCTATCTATCTATCTATCTATCTATCTATCTATCTATCTATCTATCTATCTATCTATCTATCTATCTATCTATCTATCTATTATCTATCTATCTATCTATCTATCTATCTATCTATCTATCTATCTATCTATCTATCTATCTATCTATCTATCTATCTATCTATCTATCTATCTATCTATCTATCTATCTATCTATCTATCTATCTATCTATCTATCTATCTATCTATCTATCTATCTATCTATCTACTATCTATCTATCTATCTATCTATCTATCTATCTATCTATCTATCTATCTATCTATCTATCTATCTATCTATCTATCTATCTATCTATCTATCTATCTATCTATCTATCTATCTATCTATCTATCTATCTATCTATCTATCTATCTATCTATCTATCTATCTATCTATCTATCTATCTATCTATCTATCTATCTATCTATCTATCTATCTATCTATCTATCTATCTATCTATCTATCTATCTATCTATCTATCTATCTATCTATCTATCTATCTATCTATCTATCTATCTATCTATCTATCTATCTATCTATCTATCTATCTATCTATCTATCTATCTATCTATCTATCTATCTATCTATCTATCTATCTATCTATCTATCTATCTATCTATCTATCTATCTATCTATCTATCTATCTATCTATCTATCTATCTATCTATCTATCTATCTATCTATCTATCTATCTATCTATCTATCTATCTATCTATCTATCTATCTATCTATCTATCTATCTATCTATCTATCTATCTATCTATCTATCTATCTATCTATCTATCTATCTATCTATCTATCTATCTATCTATCTATCTATCTATCTATCTATCTATCTATCTATCTATCTATCTATCTATCTATCTATCTATCTATCTATCTATCTATCTATCTATCTATCTATCTATCTATCTATCTATCTATCTATCTATCTATCTATCTATCTATCTATCTACTATCTATCTATCTATCTATCTATCTATCTATCTATCTATCTATCTATCTATCTATCTATCTATCTATCTATCTATCTATCTATCTATCTATCTATCTATCTATCTATCTATCTATCTATCTATCTATCTATCTATCTATCTATCTATCTATCTATCTATCTATCTATCTATTATCTATCTATCTATCTATCTATCTATCTATCTATCTATCTATCTATCTATCTATCTATCTATCTATCTATCTATCTATCTATCTATCTATCTATCTATCTATCTATCTATCTATCTATCTATCTATCTATCTATCTATCTATCTATCTATCTATCTATATCTATCTATCTATCTATCTATCTATCTATCTATCTATCTATCTATCTATCTATCTATCTATCTATCTATCTATCTATCTATCTATCTATCTATCTATCTATCTATCTATCTATCTATCTATTCTATCTATCTATCTATCTATCTATCTATCTATCTATCTATCTATCTATCTATCTATCTATCTATCTATCTATCTATCTATCTATCTATCTATCTATCTATCTATCTATCTATCTATCTATCTATCTATCTATCTATCTATCTATCTATCTATCTATCTATCTATCTATCTATCTATCTATCTATCTATCTATCTATCTATCTATCTATCTATCTATCTATCTATCTATCTATCTATCTATCTATCTATCTATCTATCTATCTATCTATCTATCTATCTATCTATCTATCTATCTATCTATCTATCTATCTATCTATCTATCTATCTATCTATCTATCTATCTATCTATCTATCTATCTATCTATCTATCTATCTATCTATCTATCTATCTATCTATCTATCTATCTATCTATCTATCTATCTATCTATCTATCTATCTATCTATATCTATCTATCTATCTATCTATCTATCTATCTATCTATCTATCTATCTATCTATCTATCTATCTATCTATCTATCTATCTATCTATCTATCTATCTATCTATCTATCTATCTATCTATCTATCTATCTATCTATCTATCTATCTATCTATCTATCTATCTATCTATCTATCTATCTATCTATCTATCTATCTATCTATCTATCTATCTATCTATCTATCTATCTATCTATCTATCTATCTTCTATCTATCTATCTATCTATCTATCTATCTATCTATCTATCTATCTATCTATCTATCTATCTATCTATCTATCTATCTATCTATCTATCTATCTATCTATCTATCTATCTATCTATCTATCTATCTACTATCTATCTATCTATCTATCTATCTATCTATCTATCTATCTATCTATCTATCTATCTATCTATCTATCTATCTATCTATCTATCTATCTATCTATCTATCTATCTATCTATCTATCTATCTATCTATCTATCTATCTATCTATCTATCTATCTATCTATCTATCTATCTATCTATCTATCTATCTATCTATCTATCTATCTATCTATCTATCTATCTATCTATCTATCTATCTATCTATCTATCTATCTATCTATCTATCTATCTATCTATCTATATCTATCTATCCTAGTAATTGGTCCTCTTGGTTTGTCATAGTCTTGGTTTTACTATAGTTCATCTCTAGACCTACCTCTGTCGCTTTTCTATCTAGTTCCTCAACCATCTTCTGTAACTCTTCCTTCTTATCT